GAATTGAAAGTATTTTTACCAAGCTGAAATTATTTTTACTGATTAAAACTTATTTTTACTGATTCTTTAATATTTTTTTAAGTAAATTAAATAACAATACATTTTGTATGCGGCTAGCCACACCATCTGGTCGGACAAAGTAACCCCTATAAAACTAACCGAGTAACCCCTGTAATACTAACTAGAGACCTCTAACAATGACGACTAAGTAACCCCTATTTATAACACTGATTGAGTAACCACTATAACACTAACCAAGTGACCCCTATAGCCCTAACGAAGTAACTCTTGTAATAGTTGGTGACATGGCTTAGCCAGCTACGTCTAAAAGTTTATGATTAAATATATTATAAATGGATTTTATTTTAATGAACTTTTTAAAATGAATTTAATGATGGAAATAAAATTGAGTTATAGGATATTTATTTAAAGTTATGATTAATTTTGTATATATGAAATATTAGAATTCTATCGATAATAAAACTCTATACAACAATTTTATCTTAAAAAATCTATCCAAAAATCGCTTACTTAGCATCATATGTGTCACAATAATACCTATTTATCTCCTACGTGGCGCGACACTTAGCGAAAAACTGGAATGTCAAGTGTCGTTGTCTCGTGGCCTGGATGCGAGATCGACTTTATTTATTAATGACTAGTTTTGTGCCCGGGCGATGCCCAAATGGTTGATAAAAGTTTAGGATAAAATTTTTAGATTGAATGTTAAATACGATCATATATTCCCTTTTATAATGCAGGATATTTAGACATACAGAACTGAAATTATATTTTATTGAACTAAAATTATTTTGACTGAATTGAAAGTATTTTTACCAAAATTAAAATTATTTTCCGGATTAAAACTTATTTTCAAATTCTCTATTATTTTTGTAAGTAAATGAAATATATTGTATATGGATCTTATTTCAAGGAAATTTTTAACACGAATTTTACGACGGAAATAGTACCGAGTTATAAGATATTTACTGAAAGCTATGATTAATTTTGTATATATGAATTATTAGAATTATATTGATAATAAAACTCTATACAACATTTTTATCTTTAAAGATCTATCTAAAGTTCGCTTACTTAGCATCATATGTGTCACAATACTACCTATTTGTCGCCTATGTGGCATGACACTTAGTAAAAAATTGGAATGATGAGTGTTGTTGTCTCGTGGCCTGACTGCGACACCGGCTTAATTCATTAGTGATATGATATGATATGATATGATATGATATTAGATTTGATAAAGATACATTGCTAATTACTTTGGAGTGTATGTGTAAACAAAAAGGTATGGATGAATAAGTGACAAAGATTCATTGAGTCATGAACTCACTAATGAATAATGATATGTTATTGTCAAAGAGTACTTGTATTAATTAAGAGGGGCGTGTGTGATGTTTTTAAATGAAGGAGAGCATAATTAATTAAGAGTAATGTATGTTGTTTTTATTATAAGGTCATAATCACATATTGATTATGACCATATAGTTGTGGGTATTTGTCAAAAGACTACTTTCACAAAATCCATACTATTTGGCTATTTGCTCAATCATATTATTTTCTCCAATATCACGCATAAGAAATATGCAAGTGAATTCTTTGCTCAATCAGATTATTTTCTCCAATATCACGCAAAACAATCAAGTTACAACTTCTAACTAATTTTGATCGTGAACAATATCAAGTTAATTTGTTTAGCATGCTTTCATCCCTTTTTTTTTTTTTTTTTTTGAATAATACTGATTATTTTATCTAATTTTAATTTTAAAAGTTGACAAGACACATAAATAAAAACCTAATAATTCTCATTGTTTTAATATACTACGTCGCTGTAATTCTCAAATGTAACACACTAATAGGGTAGATACTTCAAATAATGAATTAAATTAGAGAATATACAAATCTGATTTTCGGGTTGAGGTTGTGGAAAAGATAGATGATTCATCTTCAGTTTCAAACTCTTGTAACACCGGATCAATCCTATTAACATATGCTTGTTTATATGGTTCACACACATAATTATGATATCGGCCATTGTATCCAGTCATTACACACCAATTCAGGTTAAGATTAGGCAAGAATAAATGCAAATTTTGTGACCTTTTCGATCATATAGCCATTCTCATAACATCGCGTAATGTCAAATGTGAGAGGATGTAAGACAATTTCTCACTCGGCAGTTCAGTGATGCGCTCCTCCTCGTGAGTTAGTTTGATTTATGCAACATCTCATGCACCCGTCTAGCCCAAGTGCCCAACAGAACCCATACCATACTGCTGCTGTTATTAATAAGTATGGAACCATTTTTCTGACAAAACTGTGACTTATAAATTTATCATAATCACAGTGATTAGTTCAATTAATTCACTTAAGGTGTAAATGATCCATCAACGTTGAAAAATATTCAATATACCCTGATTTTGGGTTTCACTTATACACCACCAACAACAACAAAGACTATTTGTCTTAAAATGATTTGGGGTTTTGTTTGGACTTCACGTATATTAAGTTTAATTTACCCGTAAATGCTGGTAAATTAAAATATACTTGAAATAAACGCAAAGAAAAGTCTAAGAAACTCCGCAATCCATTTTTTATTCACCATTCTAAAAACGTATGCAAAAGATAGATCACACTTTTATTTGAAGGACAGAATGAGTACTCCATATCTCATATGTGCAAAACACAATTATTGCATGTACTCAGAATTGGAAGAAATACGTATTAACATTAAAGTGAAGAGGATGAAGAACAGGACACATATCATTACGAGTTTCTATTTTAAAATAATAGGTATATGAATAGATAGATTATGCAGACAATACACGACTCTTGACGGTCCTACGATATTCAAGGCTAGATTTGCACAAACTTTTTCAAAGAGCTCCCACAAGCCAACAGTAATCATTTATCATTATAAAGTTTGGTCGTAAAAAATGAATGCTATAGAATTATAGATAATATATGAGGTGAGACAAAGATCTGAGACATGCACTGTGTATGTCCATAAATGTTAGATTTATGGATGGTGTCAAAGGCAATCCTCAAAGTAACGTATACTAAATTCAAAATAACCAAATTAGAAATGTCTAATACATGCTTTTTTTGGCAAAGGTCTAATACCTAGTACATGTTATTTATCAATTATTTCATACTCCGTATCTAAGACAGGAAAAGGGGTGGTGGTAGGGGGTTCGGAAGAGGTAGATGAAATGGAGGAAAAAGAGGGGTGGTGGCAATGATGAGCAGCAAGCAGTGGCGGCAAGGAGGGCCGTGGGAGGGAGAAAGTGGCAGTACCACAGTAAAAATGACAACAGCGGGAGCTGAGGGGGAATTTGCATTTGAATCTTGCAAAGCAGAGAGGTGATTTATTTTATCTTTTTTGCTTGGTAATGAAATCAGGCTTAGGCCTGGGACAGACCCTATCATCGAATGTGTCTTCAGCCAGTTAGGTACCTTCAGGATTGGAAGAGGGTAAGAGTATCCCACCCAGCAGCTTAGTTTTACGGGTCATGACCTCAGGATCACAAGGGGCAAGTTCTAACCACTAGACCACTAGACCAAGGCAAGCTAGGTTAAACATTCATATTGGCTTTATTTGTTCGAATACCTATGTTACAGGCTCCATATGTTAATGTATAGTGCTTAAGCAAGATTTAAATGCAACTCCTTTCGAACTATGTCCAAACAAATTACACATAAGAAATATATAAGCCACGTGCCGTAGTGGTACTTGTTATTCAAAACAAAGGTGATGTTGTACAAGCATCCAATGAAATTCTGATGCATATCATATAACATACTCTGTACTTCATATGAGCTGTGGCCTGTTACCTTGCTTCGTAACTTATCAGCCTTGACAATTAGTTTGCTCCTTCAATGATCTAATCATATGATGTATGCTGCCAACACAATGTAATGTTCCACTGATGGCTTCTGCTCGTTACTGCGCCAACCACGCTTCCTCTAGAGGCTTCAGCATACTCAGGTATTACAGATGACTTCGAGCATCAGGCCTTTCACATATAACGTACATCACAGGTATTCAGGTGACTTCAGAGATAGAGTTCTGACAATTAAACATTTAGTATTCAAAGGATGATCAGTACCAACTCAGTCTAAAGAGCAGAGCAGTACTGATTGTTTGAAAGTGGCTAATTTTCTTGGAAGCAATTTTACCAAAACCAGAGACACCTACCAATTAAATCCAGTTTCAGGGAATCAAGAGCCAGATTGGAGCAGGTAAAGATAGACCACGGATTAAGAGAGAATGAAGTAGCAAATACATTATAGCAACAAAGAGTCGAAAACCTAATGGTGAACTTCTCTGTAATACTTTAATTATTTAACCTCTCCTCTCTTGACTTCTTTGGCCAGTTCCAACGCACACCATAAGCCACTCTTCTTTTACTTTTGTGTTACATCTTCAATCTGCTTCTCATCTCTCAAGATTCTTCTTTTTATTTGTCACCAAAAAACCTAAATCTCCTCCTTTAACCACTAGCAAGGATCAAAATCCGTGAAGCTTCCATATGTTCTTACTTACTAAACTAGGACTTTTAAACGTAAACTAATTAAACTTGAAAAGGTTGGGGCACTGTGCCAGAGCTGGTGCCTGTGGATGACTGATGAGGCTGCTTTGGTATTGCAAAGAAAGAAGTATGATTTCATTCTTCAATAGTTGACAGATGATGAGTTCTATCCCCCAATTCAGAACCATAGACAATGTCCATAGATGGGTCCTCTCATGTCATCATGGGTACAGCAAGGCTACCTGGTGAGTCCAAAGCATCACAGGCTCTCTATAATTTTATTTTTTTTCCCTGGTTTACAGAAATGCCCTAACAAAAGCATAGATAATCTTCAAACTTACTATATCTGGTAAAATTAAGCACTAGAATCAAAACTACATGCATTCAGAAATGCTCTTACAAAAGCATAAATAATATACAAGCTTTCCTATAACTGGTAAAATTAAGCACTACAATCAAAATTATATATATATATATTCAGAAATGCCCTTACAAAAGCACAGATAAACTTTAAACTTCCTATAACTAGTAAAATAAAGCACTAGAATCAAAACTAAATATATTCACCAGCAACTTTCTGTATAACCAATAGTTAGCAAAAGAGGAACCTTGGAGGATACCTTAGTTTTTTGCAAGAATAATGTACATATCTTAGAATATTTTAGAAAATCAGGTATAGTCAATTAATCAAAATAAACAAGATAGAATGATCAGCAGAATGAGAATCACACTGTTGCTTCAACCCCCCCCCCCCCCCCCCAAACCAAAAAAAAAAAAAAAAAACGAAGAAGCGGAAAAGAGAACAATATAGATTTGAGACAAAGGTTGTATTTACACCCTATTCTGTAAGCAAGTTGCTCCCAAGATTCTGAAGAAGAGATCAGAAACCATTCTTCAGCAAGTAGGTAGTCAGTTTCCAGTAATGATGGATTGATAACATGAAATTTAACAAGGAAGAAAAGTATACCAGGGATACAGAGACACAACTTTCCTGAAAATGAAAACACTTACTTCAGTTCAAGAACATAGTAGTACTCGGATCTAGTTTCTGATTTAAGTCGTCTTACCTCAATCTGAAGTTTCTGCTTGAGAATACTGCTGCTCAATCAAGTTTTGAACTCTCTGACCAAACAACAAACAGAAACACCCAATAAAAACCATGCCAACAAGTACAACTCAGAAACATAAAATGTCCTTGCATATCCTACCTTGATAGAAGTCCCAACCTCTAGTTTTTGTAGAAGTCCCAGCTCATTAGGAGGAATAGCATCATGTTTAACAGATTGTGAAGGAGACATCTGCAGCCAGGTTCCAGATACAGAAATTTTTAAACTTGAACACTCAAAGGGTAGGGGACTAAAAGAAAACAGGGAAGCAGCTCAACACCATTTTGAAGGTAACATTTGCAGCTAATTTTTTTTTTTTTTTTTTAAAAAAAAAACACAATTATCTGATTTGATAAGGTTTGAAGATTAACTAGCTGGGCAGGGAACATTATGAAGGGAAGAGAGTCTCCAATTTCCTCATTTGTTTTCCACGGGGGAAAGATACAAATACTTATCTTCACAAAAGAAAAAGAAAAAAAAAATCCCTGAAGGAAGAAAGAAAACAGAAATAGCTAGAATATGAATGATACAGAGAGCAACCAAATCCTATCTATTTATCTATTGCTGTATAAACCTAATTGTGTAAACAAAGGTGAAATCTAGACCAAAAACCTTTCTAGCACTTGAAGTATCAACTTAAACAATAAGAGACAAAAGCTCACCTAATTTGACCTTCCCCTGATTTAAATAAAACAAAAATATTAATAGTAACAAAAGTAAATACGGAGTAAGTTTCTATCATTTAATGTAGCAAGCTTGTCTTGAGGTTATCATGATAGCAACACCTGTCTCCTCTCTACAATTGCAAGACCAGAAATCCTAAATTCTCAAACTACTTTCTCATGAATTGGCAACTCAATTGTCAGAGAGAATTTTGTTAAGGTACACAACGTCTTGGAAAGTATTTTCTTCAGCTAGTTAAAAGATGGCCAAAAGGTGGTTTAGAATAGATCTGTCTTGTAAAAGTTGTAATCGACTGATGTTGTGTGGATATTAATACAGTCTATACAACATGCCAAATTCAATAAGAGGTAGAACGTGAAAACTTTTGAGTTAGAATGAGGATAACATAGGGCAGTGTATGAAATTGGCCTTCTCCCTCAGTCTTCACCCCCAACCATTTCCCTTCAACTCTCTTTTCCCACACGTAAAGCCTTGAGGTCATGCCAACCCTTGCCAAAGCCAAATCAGGCCATGGTGAGAGATACCTAAACTCTAGCAGCCCCAACAGCACTTAGTAATTGAAGAAGAAGGATTAAGGGCAAGGATTAGAGGTTGGGAGTGACTCTAGTTTTGGGATGGTAATTCTATTAGCTTAATAACTAATTTTCTTGAAAAGACATTCCTACATTAGGAAATGTTAGATAGCAAGTTTACGACTTGATTAATAACTTCATCTAAAGCAAGCCTAAAAGTTCATTATAATAATTATGCTATCTTTGGGTACAACAATAAAACACTGGACATTTATCCAGCAAGCATAATTCACACATAATTTGGCATACCCCAACAACTTGTGGATGGCCACCTATAAAAGTTTGAGGACCTTCAATTACAGGTACTTGTGTAGAGGAAGCCTCAGTCCTTTTACTTGAGAGGTGAGTAAGAACAGCCTGGAAAAGAGATATTAATTAGACTACAGGGAAAACAAATTTTTATCGAGCTTCTTATTACCAAGTGCAATCTTAATTGGAAAAACATTCACCTTTCGGAAGGCACTTGGATTTGTTATACCTTGAATCTGAAGATCATCACTAGGCGGTCTTCTCACACCAGCATTTTCAATTCGAACAGAGTAAACACCAAAAAAGGACTGCAAATACCCTGATAGCATCAAACAAAATTTTAGATGAGACAAGACTGTATAAATGCAGAATTAACTAATTGAGCAAACCAATATGATTTTTTTAAGCTGGCCCATGGTTAACAATTATTAATCCAAATTTTAGTCATATGAGCTAATTTTACAGTATGGCTACTGTATGACTATAGTATACCTTTAAGGGTAAAGGAAAATCTCTATGGGATGATTATTAGACCAGCGATGTTATATGGGTTGGAATGTTGGGCATCTATGAAGGATCATACGGATTATTAGCAGAGACTTGTATGTTGAAATGGATGGATGTATGGGAAAACCTTAAGGGACAATATTAGGAAAGAAGATGGTATGAGGAAAGTTGAAATTGCATACGATAACATTGAATTGGACATATGAGGTGAAGACCAGAAGATGCGCCAATAAGGAAAGCAGAAAAATTGATTCATAGAAATCCTAAAATAAGCAAAGGAAGACCAAAGAGGGCTCGGATAGAGGGATAAACAAAATTGGTTTACAGGAGCATATAGCACATGCAGGGGCCATGGAAGAAGAGGATCTTGGTTGACAGCAACAGGAGATAAATATTTTGGTTCATGTTGCCAACTGGGCATTGGGATTAAGACTAATCTATTAAAAAGCTTGTTCATACTTCATTCAACTTGAGTAGGATTTTACTGGTACTAATTCACCCAAAAACTGGTATATCAAAATGATCTCAAATAACTTTTTCCCAGTACTCATAGTACAGAGCAGGTATATGTCTTAGATCAACCAATGCCCCTTGCCCCTCTCATCCAATCTCTTGAGCTTAATAGAATGAGTCATCCTCGCAAGCAAAAATACAGCATACACTTTTTTTTTTTTTTTTTTTTTTTACCTAGACACCTCTCTTTTCTTAATCTAATATTTTGAGATTGCCTGAAATTAAAATGTGTCATATAAAACACAAATTAAGAATACCTTATCTTCACATAAAGACGAAACGTCAATTGCATATCTAACAGAGAGGGTGAGTAGTGCCATGACTGCCTCAATATAATCAAAGATCAAACTATATTAGAACTACTTGTACCTTGCTCAATTACAATATCTGCTACCGAGGGCAATAACACATATTTTTCCTTTTGTAAAACACCAAAACAAGGAAACGCTACTGGCCTTGTGACCTGCACTACAAGAATGACATATATCAACATGGTCTTTAGAATGTGAAATGTGACCTATAATTTATATACTATATTGAATGTTATCCAACTGATAGCTATGATTAAACTGATCATAAATTACTAATCCGACTCTTCACTGCAAATATCAATAGGAGAAATTCATTATCCAATTCAGCACTCTACTTCTAACATACTTCTCGCAGACTTTATGCCCAGATGCCCAGTTTACTTTAAGCCATGCCAAAACATAGAATGACAAAAAAAAAACAAATTGGAGCAACCGGAGATTATTTTATCGCAATCAGACAAGAATACAAAGCCATCTATAACAAACAGGGGAACTAAAGGAAACAAGACCTCACTGGAACCAGAAAATCATGAAGGTAGTGCCAAACTAGCGTAAATAATTGAGAAATATTTTTTTAAAAAAAGGGGAAGATACAGGTTTCAAGATTATTGGTATTTCATAGACAACAACAAATACAGTAAGTGTTAAATACTCCCTCCTTCCTCAAATATTTCCCTTGTATACTATTTTGGACAGTTCCTATACAACAATCCTGTTACCTTAAAATGGGATTTCTACCTTACCGACCCATTCAATGGACTTCAATCCATGACATCTCTCTCTCTCTCTCACACACACACACACTTTTAGTCTTTCTTTTACACTTTCTACCAAAAAAACCTACACCAAACTATTTACACTTAAAATGCATGCCCAAGCCTAAGAGAACAATAATTGAGGACAAAGAGAGTGTTATACTTGTATAAATAGAGGGAAACACAAACACAAACACACACACACACACACACACATTAGTGACTCAAATGACAACCCAAGACACAATATTCTTTTCTTCACCAAATTCAGCAATTTGAGCATGGTATAAGACCCCTAAAGTCCTAATTATAGCCAGCAATTAGGATCTCTCTACTTTCTCATCAAATCTCTCCTTGCTTCTAGTTCAAATACACATCTACAAAACTGCCAAATACTTCAAGATGATTACCAAATTTTTCCTACTACATGCTCTATATAGTGCCTTCTTGTACACTAATCTTAAAGTTGGGTGATATACTTCAGCCTACAACCACAAGATATCTGGAAGGCCCTTACCCCTGCCTACCTTTCTCTTGCCATCTCAATAGAAATTCTGTTTTTTTTATCAGCAATATCACTTTGATTTAATTGTATTAAACAACAAGATTTCGTGGAATACTTTCCTTTTGACCAAGGAGGGCTTGTATATGAGCTCGATAAGTAGCCACTTAGGCTTTCCAAAAGCCTTCTGAAAATGACATAAAACCCTTCGTGGTATTTCCTATGTGCTTGATGTGAACCAATAAACTTCACTCCAACAACATCGTATAGAGGAATTCTTGATGGTCTAAATAATATCGAGAGAAGAAGAAAATAATCTAACATCCTAATTAACAAAACTCAAACATACTAGTTTCTCGGTCTTAATAAACTATCATTCTATGATTAACCAATTTTACATATAGGTCGTTTGGTTGGAGTTTTTGGAATAGATAATAACGGAGTTAAAGTCCATTCCATCCATTTTATTGTTTGGTTAGGCAAATTTAGGTATGGAATCTCATACCAATGGGTTCTAACTCCACCCCATCCCCCTAGAATCCCATATCCACCTTACCCACCAAATGACCCCATAAAGTGGAGGAAGAAACACGCCTAAACCCACACAACAATCTAACTAGAGCTCCCTTACCAAAAGCCAGGTAAAAATAGAATAGAACCCTATCATTCTAAATCCCCAAAACTAGTAAACCGAACTAATCCTTAGAAGCCACTCAAGTGGCTGAGCTTAAGTTTTGACTCTCACCAAGCAACAAATTCCTACAATTCTGCATCTAAATATCACATAATAAGAATCAATGGACTTTCAACAATCTCTAATTCCCCAACAACAACAAAAACATTGCATATCAATGCACTAGCCTGCAAATAAATTAATTTGATAGTTTTGCTAATAATACACAAAACACACTAACACCGGTGTCTGGTTATCAAACACTTATCTAAATTCCAAATCAAAAGTGATGTCAACTAGCTTAAATCATACATCTGCATCATTGCCCTTTGCAAAAAACACAAGGAAGAAAACAAATTAAGTTGACTTACTTTATGAACTATAGCATCAAGGTAAAATCTTAGTCACAAAGGAGGATGCCAACTAGCTTAACTGATAAATTTAATCAAATTCTGTCCACATCACTACCCTTTGCAACTCTCAATAACCCGAAAAACATAAGAATTATTACAAATAAACTTACTTTACAAACAATGCATCAGGAGTAAAATCTTAATCAAGAGAATGTCAATTGTCAACTAGCTTAACTCGTAAAATCTAATCAAATTCCGCCTACATCACTGCCCTTTGCAACTCTCAATTTCCCGAAAAACACAAGTAAGATAACAAATTAAGCGACTTACTTTATAAACAATAGCATCAGGTGTGACATAAAGTTTCCGAGACCGAATATCTTTGCGCAAAATAAATCTTCGAACAGGAACATACAACAACATCAATAACCCAATTCCCCAAGCTAATATCGACACCAAAGAATACAACACCCATTGAGCTGTTTGATACTTGACGAAATTCTCTTCCATTTCATCAAACGACGCCGCGTAAATCACCGTTGAATCGTCTTCTTCCGCCGTATAATCGCCATTTTCGGTACCTTCTGAAGATAATAATCCCTTTTCCAAGCTCTCGATTTCCACTACTTCGTCTCTGGTTTCCATGATTTGGGGAGGGGAATTTGAAGATAAACCCTAGGTGAGAGAAAATTGGCGCAAAAATCGAATGTGAATTGGAGTTGAAAGATGATGAGTTTATGGAATTGTAGAGAGAAGATTGTAGAATGCGGATATCAAAGAGTGAGAAATGTCATGTATTCAAATGGGTTTTACTCCTTAAGAAAATGTCATACTTCCTCCATTCTATTAATATTGCAATAATAGACATTTTATACTATTTATCACTCTTATTTGACCATATAATATAATTTATATAATCATGTGGGATCTTGTTGGATTCGTCTCATAAATACTTTCACAATATCAACTATTTATAATTTTTACTCTTACACAATTATAGATACTTAGCATATAAAATGTGCTTTGAGATGCGTAATTTCATCCTTGTTGCAATATTAATTTCACTTTGGCTAACACTTCACGGTTCAATTTATCCATTGATGTACTAGGTTGGTTATGGACGAGGTTGGTGATTCTATCGAAATAAAAGATATGGTTAAACAATGAATAATGATTTAGGATTTAAATTATTAAAAATTTATCATTTCACATTAAAGATTTTAAATAACGGAAAAAATATCATATTTACAATTTATTTATATTTAATAAATTCATTATAAATTATAGTAAAAAAAATAAATATTAAACTTTTGTAATTTGTCTGAAATTATTAAATACAATAAATCAAATAATTAAAAATCTTAGATGAAAAAACCGTGCATCGCACTGGCTTCCATCTAGTTAATAATATTTTAGGAACTATTTTAAAGGGTTATCTAATGTCCCGGGGGTGTTCGTTAGCAAGATCCTATTGATTTATTTACGATTTTATCATTTGATAAATACGTGTAAATTTTGTTTTCAATGTTGTAACTATGAGGCTTTCTAAAAGCTGGTTTTAAGTAAAAGAAAATTTGTTGATAGAAAAACCTTTTATGGCAACATTTTTGTTATAGATAAATCTAATTCAAATACTTTAGACATAAGACGTTTATTTCAAACAATTTTAGGTTTAATTCTCTTTGCTGAACTCGAACTTTTTAAATTTCTCAGTGGTAAACGTTAAAAAAACTTATTATCAATGGTAAACCCTAATTATCTTTACTAACACATTGGTAACATTAATGATATAATTAACTGATCCTTTAACCATGGTTAGCCTTTTTAAAAAAAAATAAAATAAAATAACTCAACAACCCCTAATTACTCAACTGTGTCTAATCAAAAGTTAAAGTAACCCATCCATCTTCCTCATTTCATCTTCTTCTTCATTCGAATTTCATAAAGTGATTGGAGAAAAAGCTTGATTTCATGGGGTAAAAATTCTAGGGCTAGAAAAAATCATGTGTTTGCTTAGTTGTTTGAAGTTCGAAGATATTTTTGGAGTGATTTTTAGGGTAATTTGTTGAGAATTCTAGGGATTACTTGCGACGAATTTGCGGTTGTTTTAGGCAAAAAATATATTTGCGAACATTCAATTGGAGTTAAAGTTCGATCTTTGATGCGAATTCATCACTGGGAACGTGAATTAAAGTCAAGTATGTGGTTTTTATGCTTACATTTGTGTTATGCTCTGTTTTTTGGTTTTGTATGGGTGAAGTATGTAATTGACTTGGGTAAAAATACCCAGGCCACATGGGCCAATAAGAAGCTTACACGTATCATCCCGAGAGAGGTCCAAACAAGACCAATCACCAGCTGACACGTGGCCTTCCTAATCAATGGGTAAAAGGCGGCCTTCAGGGCCCAATTCCCGAGAAATTCGTAAAGCGGCGCAGCCCACCAAATCAAGGTCAAAATGACCTAGATGGGGGCACATTTTCCAATGACCCTATAAATAGGGAGATTTACCCCATTTTGGAAACACGTTCATTTATTACATACAACCAATTCTCTTGAAAAAAGAGAAATCACCTTATCTCAGAATCTGAGAAGATCTACTTTCCGCACTTTTTACATCACTCCGAACACTTTCCAACTTGATCGTCGAAGGCAGAACTCCGAACACCCGGAGCTTCCGTTGTTTTGCAGGTACAGCCAGCAGGAAATCAGTCTTGGTGACGTAACTCTCCCAAGAGACAAAAAAAATCCCGAAACATTTGCCGCCGTCTGTGGGGAGAATACCTCTAAGATGGTTTCTCAAGAGACTGTACCGCCTCCTATTGAATAGCAGCCTACGGCTGAGGTCTATACAGACCATGATACGGTGCGGATCCAGAGGTCGAAACATATACAGCCGCAGATGGGTCCCTTATTACCAGGCGCATCCGTTCCAAAGACAACAAGGAGCAGGCGATGGTCAGGCGGGTCTGAGTAAGTCATCCGGCCAGCCCCAGGCGGCATGATAGACTACTCACATCACCCGAGACGAGTTCATGAAATTCATGACAAACTTCAAGGGAGAGATGAAGGACCTGATCTCCAAGAGGACGGCTGGTCCCAGCAAGGGTCAGTTGGCCAAGAAGCCCTCTCGCTCTGAGAAGGCTAAGTCGATCAAGGATAGGGAGCCCACGCCGCACCCAAAAATAAAGGAGGGGACCCGACCTTTGATTGATTGGACCAAGTTCCACTTCCTCAAGCCAGGGAAAAGGAAGGCCTTCTGGCATACACAGCCGGATGGCAGCAAGAAGACTATCTCTGATGCTCGACTTATTATTGAGCAAAGGAGAAACCAGCAACTGTCTGACTTGGCTTCAACGTCGACTTTCCCAGACATCTTCAATAATACCTCGATGAGGTATTCTCGATCTGCACAGGAGAGCCTGTCAGGTGGCCCGTCCATCCATACAGGTCCTCAGATGATAGGGTCAGTCCCGTATGTGCCCCAATAGCCATACAGGCCGTTTGCTCAACCTTACCTGCAGCCTGCTCTCTTCGGGGGTCAGGCGACGTACAACATCCAGCCATTGGACTGGCTGCTCCGTCTGTTAAAACTTGGAGAAAAACCTTCTGAGTTCTCCAAGGAGATAACCGAGGCGGCACAACCGGCCAAGGTTAAGAATGTCATGGTGGGTACTTATGATAGTACCACCAACCTAGAAGACCACCTGTTGGTATACACCCACCTCATGTACTTGCAGGGGTTGGATGATGCAGCATGGTGCAGGTGTTTCCCAGCCACGCTAAAGGGCATTGCCCAGTAGTGGTTCGGCAATTTGCCGGCTGGGTGCATTAACAATTTTTGGACGCTTGCGTTCTTATTTGCCTCTAACTTCTCCATGAACATACCCGCCAAAAAGACAAGCCTTGACTTGGGCGCGGTACAATAGGGAGACAGGGAGGGGCTCCGTTCATACGTCAGGCGGTTCAGTCTAATGAGAATCCAAATCCAAGGACTGTTTGACGATGTTGCTTACACAGACTTCTTCAAGGGTCTGAAAGATAGGTTGGCTTTCAAGTTCGACCTCGTCCGGAAGAGAATATCCACTATTCAAGAAACACTAATGGAGGCGGAAGCCTATATACAAGCGACCGAGCTCTGCTCCACTAGCAAGCAGTCGGACTCAAAGAAGTCCGACAAACAAAAAGGGAGTCGGCAAGAACAGCCGACTCACAAAGCTGAAGAGAGCAAGAAGAGAATAGAAATCTGGGCTACTGAGGATTTTGATTAGCCGTCCCAGAAGAAAAAGAAAGAGTTTAAATCGTACGTCCCAAGGTACGAGTTTAACAAAGACTGCTACTCCATCCTCATGGAGATAAAAGACCGAGTGACTATTGAGAAGCCCGTAGCAATGAAAGGTCTGGCCAAAAACCGGAATAAAGATAAGTAATGCCACTTTCATGAGGATATTGACCATGATACCAACGACTGCTATAGCCTCAAGCGGTTGTTGGATAGATTGGCTGATAAGGGGGTGTTGTCTTACATCCTCAAGTCTAAGGTGACCCTGAAGACGAACCCTAGACATCCGTCAAAAAAGCCAGCAAAGCCTACTAGTAGTTCGGACACCAACAAGGAGCTGATCTACACCATAGCAAGCGGCTTTGCCGGTGGGGGTCCAACCATTAGAGGCACCAAGGACCATGTCCGACAGCTGAATGTCAGCTCGGTTGATGAGGGCCAGGCGTCTATCGACACATTCCCTGAGTTCATCATTTCTTAGAGGGACCGGGGCAAAGTCCGTCGACCGCATGATGACCCCATTGTTATCGAATGCAAGGTAGCCAATAAGTGTCTGTCTAAGCTGAAGTATAAGTCAGGAAGCATGCACAAGGTCACTTACCCCTTGGTTGGTTTTGGGGGTGGAGTTGTGCACCCAGTCGACTGAATTGATTTACCCATTCGGCTAGGAGAGAAGGGAGAAGGGCGCCATATGGTCGTCCGGTTCTTGGTTGTAGAGGAGCTGACCGCCTATAATCTCATTTTAGGTCGTCCGACTCTGAACGAATCCAAGGCGTCATTATCCCGTCCCTTATGCTGCTGAAGTTTGAAAAAGATAACGGTTATGTTGGCTCCTTGAATGGGGACCAGAAGACGGCTCGAGAGTGCTATCTCTCAGACGTCAAGTCCACGGCGGCAGCAGCCGGCCAAGGTGAGGAGCTAATAGACCTTGACAATGTTAAGGAACCAGGGCTTGTCCCACCAGCAGTTGGCAAGAAAAGAAAGGTCGATCAGCTGGTAGCTATTAAAAAAGAGAAGCAATAGAAATCACTAACCGGAGAACGGTCAGATGACCTCCGTCCCTAACCGGCTGGAGAACATATGGATATCAATCTGGATTACACACGTCCGGAGCGTACTATAAAGGTTGGGATGGTTGCTTTTGCAAAAAACTAGGTGTAGACTTGCACCATCTGCTGAAAGAATTCAAGGACATTTTTGCCTTTGAAGTGGAAGAGATGCCATGCATCAGCCCTGTTCTTGCTGTCCACAAGCTCGTCGTGGATCCAAAAAAGAAGTCGGTTAGGCAAAAGAAAAGAAATCACGGCGAGGAGAGAAGTCAAGTGGCAGCCGCCGAAGTAAAGAAGTTGTTAGACCCCAGGTTCATTCGGCAATGTCACTTCCCAGATTGGTTGCGAATGTTGTCCTTGTAAAGAATTCGAATGGTACCTGGCGCATGTGTGTTGATTACACAGATCTGAACAAGGTATGTCCAAAGGACAGTTACCCGCTTCCAAAGATTGACAATCTGGTCGATTCAACAGCCG